TACTACTTCTTTGATTTTGTTTCACGGTGCAAGTGTGATGACTCTAGCAACTAATAGTCACTAAATAAGAACTATTAGGTAGTAACTATTTAGATTTTATTTCATGGACATATTTAAACACTCTATATAAATCAACACTTTTCAACACAATTTTTTTTATTTTTCCATCAAGTGCATCAACGTTTATTTATAGAGAGCTCGAACACARCACAACAATAAGTTACTACGCCGTGGCTCATCCCCTCATGAAACCTCTTCAAACGAAGATAAAACTCATAATTCTTGGGATTGACATTGGTGAAAAACACACTGCGCATGTCCACAGCTTTCGCGCCAATGAGCGCTCGCGTCTTGAAATCTGCCGAACTTATTTGTGAACAGAGCACCTGGCGATTTTTGTGAAAGTTTTTTTAATTTATAAGCTCGTTAACCGATATATAAGATTCATATTCCAACAATCTTTGTTCATGATAGGTTCTTTTAGTATGCAGTTTCTATTTTTATCTTGTCATTTCTATTTTGAGAAAATGAGGTTTTTCGTAGTGTTTTCTGTGTTAAATTAGGCAGATTTCAAGACGCCCGCGCTCACTGGAGGGAAAGGTTTGGACATGCGCAGTGCATTTTTCACCAGTGTCCTTGGGATTTGGATTTTGTCGATGACACTTTGTATACCCTATTGGTACTTTTATCGCGTTTTTGGATGGMGCTGTGGAGTTCCTTCACATATCAAGTCAGTAAATTTGACCTATGAGTATCTCTGACTTTAGTTTTACCAGATACCTTTAACGCTCTTCTTTGTTTTTACTGTGTGTAAACTTTATCGAGACAAAGCTCCTGGAGATACTACAGACATGACAAGAAGACGTAAAGAGCAGCAAAACGAGCAAGTATTAAAGACGTCTATTACTACTTTTTATCAGTCTAGGCGTCAACTTCACTTATTTTATCCTAGTTTTCTGAAAATCCTCAAAAATAAATCACTTCAGCGAATCKTTATTTTCATATTCTATTCAACGTCATTAAAAACATGATTGGTAAGTGCTGCTGCCGTTGTCGTTTGAACCAAATAATTCATTTAAGCGGCAGTCGTGGAGTTGGAAATGAAGGGAATTGATTGTCAAATAAATCTTTTATCGAGACAAGAACAGACTTACTAAGCTTCATTTTTGGTATAGGAACTTTTAATTCACTGATCATCTGTTAACGTAGCGAACAAAACAACAGAGTTGAAAAACAGATCTTAATCCCACTATTCCTGACATCAGTCTCTAGCCTGCGTTTCAACTCAGAGCTTTGTGTGGCAGGTACCATGATGACACTTTCGTACCCTCATCTCCTGTACCACGTCTTCCTGTTGTTCTCTTTCTCCTCAACTCTTTCCTTCCTTCTTCACTCCTTATTTCTGTACAAAGGTCTCTCTCCTACGCGGTCGATCTCTTGTAGGTGTCTATACGCCTTCAGTGCCGAGCTAACTACTTCATGACGAAACCGTTTATCATACCCAGAGTATTGCATTCGGAGAATCATTTCTTCTACATGTTTTACAGTACACTTCCATGGTAGATAGTAACTACAGTTGAACAGCACTCTCAACACTTCCTTGGTTAATATGGTACGTTTGGTATTCCACGGTACAGCAGATCGCGAATGTACCACATACTTTGGARTGTTTTTCAACGCTGTTGTTTTGTTYGCTACGTTAACAGATKATCAATGAATGAAAAGTTCATATACCAAAAGTGATGTATAATAATGATTATCATGTATATAAAGACAGGTGTTATATCGTATCAAAGCGTGGGGAGCACTAAATCAAATGGACAACATCTGGAAATCAAATCTACACGACGATCTGAAAAGGAATTTCTTCAGAGCCACAGTTGGATCTGTCCTCACATATGGCTCGATCTCCTGGACCCTTACCACCAGACTGGAGAACAGACTAGACGGAGCATATACCCGTATGCTTCGCGMTGCGCTAAACAGATCCTGGCGTGATCACCCTACCAACAAAGAGCTATATGGTAACACCCCACCCCTCAGCCAATCTATCAGACGGCACCGACTACGCTTTGCCGGTCACTGCTGGCGCAGCAAGCAAGAACTGGCAGGAGACTTGGTCCTYTGGGCGCCCTCCCATGGCAGAAGATCACAAGGCCGCCCAAAAATGACCTATCCAGATCAACTTGCCAACGATATCGGCTGCCTGCCTCAAGAACTTCCCGCTCTGATGAGCAATAAGGATGAGTGGAGGAGAACTGTGTCGAGTATTAGCCGAGCTAGCTCGACACAGTAAGTAAGTAGTAAGTTATATCGTACTGTTACACCTTGAAGACACAATTTTCACTAAAATTTCACTATCGTATTGCTTTTTGGCTGTTTTAACACTTGCCTTTTTTCAGCGGTACCACTATCCATACAGATTCTATTTTACTAATGATTGTTGTACAGTGCATAGTGTGCTCATCACACTTTCAGAGATGACTATYCTACAGATTGTACAACCCGTGAAATGATATGGTCCGAACTACAGTATATTATCGTGTTAGCTATCTGAACACCGCCATGGGATTGTTGATAGGTCGCGTCATGAACTTGTCACTTTTCATGTATTCTGCTATTTTTGGTAATGCCTGTAAAACATCAACAAAACTCATAAAAAAAACAAGAAACAAAACAACAACAACAAAAAAAAAAACAACAAAATGCAGTCGAAACTCTATTTAAGCGAAATAGCAGTAGTGAAAAGATATAATGCTTAGAAAGGAGGTTATTCCGGGTGAAAAGACCCTTGGTAAAAAATTCGGAAAAAAATAATTTCTGAGCCTGCAGAGATTCGAACCCACGACCCTCGTATATGTACTCTACCAGCTGAGCTACATGGAAGGTCAGACTGGGAGCAGACCAAGGTGAAATAGATATTAGGTCACGGTAATTGAAATGTAAAGATTTGATTATGTAAGYCGCGTAGTACTAGGAAACGGCCCTCTATTACGCGACTGTCTRTTTAGCAGTCACACTGTGGCCTCATATATAATTACTGTAATCGTGGCTTTTAGTCTACCTCTATATTAATTGACACCTTTGTTTTCCCCCAAGATGACCGCTTAATAGAGGTTTGAACTACTGGRTTTGAACTACTAGGTATTCAGACCATGAAAGTTACGGTAGTCACCAACTGAACAAAAATGTCGTCTTGAAAAGTATAGATCGTAAGTTCGACAAATTACAAGCTGGGCCGAAGAGGTGTGTGGGATACATGATATGCTAAGAATTTTAAGTGTATTTATTGAGTTGCATCTGTCGGCATCTTACCTCAATTTGCTCCATGTATATGCCTTTGGAAGAAAATAACAAAGTAAATATTCAGTAAATCTCGTCTTTTTTCTTTTTTTCCCTTAGCTGCCCGAATGACACTTTTATTATGCATATGTCATGTGATTATACTATTTCGTAATCACTGTTGAATAAAAGAAAACAATAGAATTTAAGGCGAGGAAATAATGAGCATTGTTTTATTCCTCCAATCACAAGAAACTTTACAAAGTCGTGAAGGATAAYAGATGAAAGTTGGCAATTGTATTCGGAAAGGTAATAATTGGCCTTCCCGTGTTACCAATCGTTCTTAATTAGCTTAGATGTAGCCTTGTGAGTCCCGCAACGTTTTGATTATCAGGTGTATTATAAAATGAAAAGATCTGCGCTACAATGTACCTTGTCCCCAGCAAGATAGTTCTTCTCGCCAAGAAAATCACTAATAGCCTCGATAGTCTTGGGAACATTGTTGAGGTAGGTTTTCTTGTTTTCCTTCTTGTCTACAATACAACAATACAATTACGTTTTACGCTGTAAGTAGTTGGTAGGAAAATGTGGCTTTTATTGTAAATAAAAGCTAAAAAAGGGCAACGGTCAAATAGGCCCCACACTTCCTCCTTAGTTTGTTTATCTCCTAAAAACATCAAGTTTTTTCAGATTTTTTTTAGGGACTCAAAAAAGTGAATTATTCTGGTTCAGTGATATCTACTATTAGTCAGTTAATTATATAGCCACATATTAATCCCAAATAGGTAAAAGCTGGATTTTTCGTTAATTTTAGAATCCTGTCCAATTAAGAAATTAATTGGACAGGTTTTCAATTGGGTTTTTGTTAAAAGCTGTGGTTGGCTTTTACCTATTTGGGATCAATATGTGGCTATATAATTAATAGGTAATAAGACTCCATGCTGTCCAATTAAGAAATAATTAGACTCGAAAAATTCCTCTGACTGCCAAATTGGACTCGGCCACGGCCTCGTCCAATTTTTGGCAGTCCTCGGAATTTTCCTCGTCCAATTATTTCTTAATTGGACAGCATGGAGTCCTATTACATATAAAAATAGACACTAGTAATAGTTACTAATAGTTACTGTTTATTTTGATTAGAGTCATTTTCAACCCTCTGTGAAACAATTACTACTAGTCAGTGTTTAATAGTAACTATTAGGGTGTAGTAGGCTACCAAAAGGCAAAATCAAAACCGTGTTTACCTAATTAGTTTGTCGGATGTCATAAGTTAAACTWTTGGGAGCTAATAGGAGAGGGGCCTTAGGCCTTAGGGGAGTGGCCTTAGGTAATAGTATTAAATAGTACAATTCTTATTTCACAGACGGATGAAAATGACTCTAAAATCTTTTTGTTGTATTCACTTGTTTATTTAGTTGTAACGCCGTCACATCTGCAGTGTATAAGATCTCTTGCTCCTAGTGTGAATTTACCTACTACGGACAGACGGACAGATCGCTGAAAAATACTACAAATYCATAAAAGAAGAAAAATCAAAGGAAAAGACAAATAAAGCAAAACATAAAAATAAGGTGTAATGAAGCAGAAATGACTCTCTATTGACCCTGGACAAAATTCCATGACTTTCCAGGCCTGGAAAACTATAATATGAAATTCCAGATGACTTATTCCAGGTTTTCCATAACCCCTAGAACTCCATAAAGCGTAAAACGCTTATAAGTGTATTTCCAATCGTTGGTTTATGAAAGACACTGTTAGCGAAATCTGAAGTTTGTCAACTATTGAGTGCTATAGCATACAATTTGAAACCGTGTAACCATGCATTGACAATTACAGGGTTTATGGTACATTCAACAAAATACTTTTTCATTGCTCGAGAGGAGTACAATTACTGTGTTAATTATACTCCTTATAAAATTCTGTTTAACTAAATGTACTATAAACAAAAAATCACAAAAAAAAAATCTCGTACAATTTTGAATTAATAGTCACTCGTAATTTTTTGAAAGTCCTCAAATTGTCCTCTCAAATCGTGACTATTAATTCCAAATTGTACTCAAGGTCGTGCAATTTCCTATACAAATGATTGTGACCATGTTACCTGCTCAGCCATCATATCAACAATGCTTCTTTCCTTTTCCGTTTCACCACACAAGTTGTGCTTTCTTGCAATGACATGCAGTATCTACATCCAAACAAGATCACAATTGTCTCAATAAAGTGTAATCATGACTTTAAATGTTTTTATTTGATATTTGTAAAATACGAACATCTAAAGACTTTTTCAATTTCATAATGCTGGACAGGATTAAACCCAATACGTGAAGTCTTTAACACACAGTCACGCCAAGAAACTTTATTTTAAGGAAAACTAGTTTCGAAACTAGTTTTCCTTAAAATAAAGTTTCTTGGCGTGACTGTGTGTTAAAGACTTCACGTATTGGGTTTAATCCTGTCCAGCATTATAAATGTTTTTAAAAACAAAATATTAGCAAGAGCTTGAGAAAGAGAACTGTTAGTAGTATGAATGAGTTTTATTACCACACAAGAGAACTTTTTAGAGTTGAGCTCTTTAATATTCATAGTCAGCTGTGAATAGCCTTCAGCAAGCACACGGGGATGTTGGGAGAACACAAAAAGGGATTTTGGAGTARTTGAGTGTTCTCCATTACTGAGTGTTCTTCCCACATCCATGCATGCTTTATTTCACCGATGGAAAATTGGTCGTGCTGGTTAGCATTCATTTACCAGTGAAAAAATCCACACACTTGGACCAATCACAGCGATTACACTATTACTTATATTTGTTTTATAACACTCCATGCAGAGACAAGCCCTGCCCTATACACTTGCATAATACATTTTTGATGCTCATTTTTAACTCAAGAGTTATAGGGGGGAGATGAGGGTGATGATGTGTGAGGGGGACTAGTTAATTAGTCACTAATTTTTTTTCTGTAAACATACGGGCATATAGAAATCCGTAACCAAGATGGCCAGGTGTTTTGATACAGAAATGGCTTTTTAAACACACAAAATGTGATTTTTGAGGTCTGGAAGTTCTTGTATAAGAATCTGTTAATTTCAGAAGTCGTTTTAGGAGATATTGTGTGAATATGGCTCATAAATACAGCATTGCTATTACGATGATTTCAAGGTCTGGATTATTACGATCCACGTCGATTAGTGATTTAATGCTCATCGATTCATACAAACTTTATCCTTCGTAAGAGGCTTTATACAGACTTATGTCCAGACAATTGTCCAGATTTATTGTCTGACAATCTTCGAGTTGTGTCGCCATTGGCGGCTTGATTTGTATACAAAATTGAGGGTCCTAAAGGGTCGGTATCAAATCCCAAAAKTTTTTATCAAAATTTCCACTCAAATCCCAGTTCCCAAGCGACAAATCCCAATTCAAACTGCTGTTTAAATCTAGTGTAATCTTGCGGTTTTTGGTGTGGATTAGAGCATTATTTGACGAGAGATATGTGAGTTTTGATTACATCGTTTGGAAACTTTGTATACTGCATGCCATTTTGGAATGACTGGAATTTTTTGCGCATGTCGCTTGATTTACCACTGTAAGCCCAAACATTAACCACAGGAAAATCAAACATTAACCACAGGAAGCTCAAATCAAATACTAACCACAGGAAACCCAAGATAGCTTGATTTTCTCTTCTAGTGTACTAAAACGACATAAAATGGTGCAAATTACTCAATTTAAAACAGTACTTTAGCATTATGATTTAAGCGCTACTTCAACCTAAAAGTTATTTATTTTCGTCGAGCTTTCGGCTCACCGAGCCATCAAGACTGAAGAATGAAAAACGTTAACATTTTACAAAACAAAATAAAARCAAAATTGTAACGTTTTTTCATTCAGTCTTGATAATGGCTCGGTGAGCCGAAAGCTCGACAAAAAAATTAACTTTTAGGTTGAAGTAGCGCTTAAATCATAATGAATACTAGACCGACCTACAATCATCTATTTGATCTAGTATTTTAGCATTTAAAGTGAGAATGAATGGACAAGAAATAGCCAAATCCCATTCCCAATCCCAATGGACAAATCCCAATCCCAATGGGCAAATCAAAGCCTCGAAAAAAGGCAAATCCCAATTCCCAATTTACCCCTTCATGACCCYCAAAATTGGCCCAACAGATTATAATACATAATTTCTCTTGTGGTCCCCAATGACAAATTACTGCTATTTCATTATATTCTACATTGTTCAATTATCTGTAAACAACATGTGGTCAGTGGTTTCTGACCGTTTTGTTTTCTATAGTTCATTTTCTTTTTTTCTTACGAGTCTAATTTGTTTGAACATTACTTGTTAATTTATTTATATATTATTTCATTATATACTCACAGCATTGCTTTGTGTAACTTTAATATCACCACTGATGTAATATCTGAAAATAAGCAATTTCAAGTTACTATCAAATTGATAATACTGGCCAGGTTGCATCTACATAATAAAGACTAAAAATTCTCAGAGAAAAAGGAACAAAGCTATTCTCTGCATTTTGTTGGATGARCGAACAAGAGGAACCCCCGGGGGGTTATTCGCCATACGGGGACGTGCCGCCAACCAGGGTATCGTTTTCAGCGATTTTACTCTGGAACTGGGTATAGTTTTTAGCGATTTTACTCTGGAACAGGTTGATTTCAGGTTGATTTCAACGAATTTTCTCTGGAACAGGGTCAGGGTTTCAATTCCGGAAATATTGATGCTGGGTAAAAATTCACGGGGTAAAAATTCGGTCTACACGCAAGCTAGTACAGGATTTTCTCTGGAACAGGATATCGTTTTCAGCGATTTTACTCTGGAAGAGGATCAGGGTTTTGACGTCTCAGCGGCACACCCCCACCCAAGTTT